AACCCAGACCTGTAATGCTCCTCGACTGTCTCGAGGAAAGTGTTCCAGTGTGAAAGAGCACTCTCCTTTGAAAAGCTAACATCATCTTTCATTCCCAACCACTCGTGCCGCTTGTTCTCCAACCACCCAACAAACGTCTTTACACCTTCAATTCCCGATTCGAAATCCGAATACCTATCTTTAGTAGGCAGAGAAGCTGACGGCGGAACATGTGATGGCACGAATGGTCATTCGGGTCCAGCATATGCTTTGTTTTCATCTCGTTTAAAGAAATATACTGGAGTAGACCATTTAGGAGAAGTGCAATACTCTTTCCACTGGAACACAGGATTGTCATCCTGCTTATAAAACCTGAATGCATGTGGACGAGTATGACCGGTCAGTCTATTGACCAGGAAGGGCTTAACAGCAGCTCGCCAATCAGCAATTTCATCCATGAATGTGCACGATGGACGTTCTTTTTTAGAATTGGCAACGAGCTTGAAGAGGTCGAGCATGGTATATGCATCATGCATTTTCAGTTTGCGAGAGAAATGACTGAAAGTGGCATCAACGTCCGTGTGTGTGTGTCCCACTAACATAAAACCGAATTCGACTTCTTTGAAGAAGCCAAATTTCACCAAAGTTGCAGCGAGTGCCAAAATGTATCTATTTTTGTTTTCTCTCCAACAGTTGTCAACTTGTATCCTCAGTTTAGGAGGCAAGTCGCTCGTCGCCTGGATGTCGCGGAGAACTTTCATAATAGATGACACTACAGCATTAGAATCATGTGGATAGCAAGGGTACCATGTGTGAACATGGACCGATGGTGGGCGGCCATGTGTAATAATATCTGTTAGATTTTTTTTCAACATCGGAATATTTGCGAATGTCTTCGATTTGTTCTCTCTGCCAAAGTGTGGAATGCTGGTCTTGCTTTGGTCCATGCCATCAATGATGATACACAAACTGTTGGAACCCGGTCTCTTCGACTCATCCTTCCACACCTCATACGCAGCACGATGTTGGAGCTGCAAGTCCAAGTGTTTCTCACGTAACGAAACAAAGTACTCACGCACACGCACGAACTTTGCGGAATTGATAGATTCTTTGTATTCGACACATTTCTCGCATTTCGCAAAGTTTTTATCAATGTCATGGAATTTCACATGCCAGAACTGCGTTCTCCACATGTTGTAGAAAACTTGGAGAGAAACACAAGGAGCACCCATGTTGTCGAATTGTGACTTTAACAACTTATAAATATCAACCTTGTTATAGCAAGCAGGCAATCTCAACACCACTCTTGATTCCCCCTCTTTGGTCCTCATGTCATTGGGCATGGAATCTATGTTGTCTCGCACGAAGGAGCTTAGTTTCCCGTACATTGTCGCATATGTTGCTGATGTGCGTCTGAGTCAAGTACTGCCATGCTCCGACATATTGTAGCCTTTTGACAAAGTCATCCTTTTTTTGAGAAATGTATTTCTACACACACCCAGTGTGACACACCAAGCACTAATGCACACCTTTCGTCTCCCCACGATAGGTTGAACAATCTATTTTTCATCTTCTATGAAAGTGAACCTCTTCAACGTTTCAACCCACCACGCATCCCTGCTCTGATGGTTCTTAGAGTAGTATACGCTCCGGATAGCTTTGATGTCGTCCAGGGTCATTTGAGTGCAACACTCTCGCTTACAGCAAACCTGCCCACGCACACTCGCCAGTGCTTTTTTGGTTAGTTTTCAATGAACTGATTGCAGAATCTTCTTTGACCGCGGCATTCTGAGACGAAAAGTATAAGGACGCTTCTCTGAGGACAAACGTTTTGAAAAAATATCATCGAAATCAGAGATCACGTCACAATTCTCATCGTCATTTCGACAAGAGTGGTCACTGTTCCGGTCAGTGTACGTTTGCGGAAGATCGGTTTTATCTGGAGAACTATCAGCACTAGACGACATCGAAGCACTTGAATCTGAACCACCTTCATCACCCTCACCAAACAGAAGACCGGTGTACTTGAAATCTCGAAGTGAACTCCTCGGCACCCATACAACACGATTTACATCGGATGCGTCGTTGTCAGTAGAGGAGGCCTTACCGTCCTGACCTTCAACATTCTCTGCATCACAGGTTCGAACCGGGCATCGAAGGACGGGATACGCACTTTCACATGCAGTGTCCGCACACGCAATATTTCGAGACCTCTTACGAGCAGGAGATTCCGGAGCATTATCGACATGTTCGTGACCACTTCGAACATCTTGTGAACACATTGGCAGGTGCGGTGGAGAAAAATCCTCATTGAGCATTGTATTAGACGCCACACAGTCCATGCTTTCCAAGGTTGTGCTGCAAGCCTACCATGGCATAGCATGCACACCACAAGCCATGCACGAGACGTGTCTTCGACAACAAAACAGCGGACCACTGTCAAAAGGCGAAAATCAGAGGTCAATGAAATGAAGCAGACAACCATCCCTACACAACAGCGAGGAACACAACCCTACAAATGACCCTGAGAAACACAGTCCGTGCTAAAGGCGCAATACACGCGAAAGAGTCTGTCCAGGTCGGAGATCGATCCACAATGGGAAGCGTAGCACATGTCAAGTCGAGGCACAAGCAACCGGAAACACAGCGTGCAACAGCATTGAAAAGGCGGAGATCTTGACGCGCAACAGGAAACGCAGCACATGTCACGTCGGGCACCAGCTTCGGAAAGGAATAGACCATGGTGTTCAAAACCCAGCGGGCACCAACAGCGGAACGGCGAAGACTTTGGCGCGCAGCACACAGCTTGGCACGAGGGAATTGATAGGAAAAATTCTATATTACTCCAGGAACTACAGCGACTGGACACACGTGGTAAGCGTGGTAATCACCACCCACGCAGAGCGGGCATGAAAACTGCCACGAGTGAGCAGGAATACCATCCTGGCAACGCGACTGTACCATCGTGGCAAAGCGACTGCCTCGCCCAACACGGAAGGGTCCCCCGTCTTGATTCCCGGCATGCGTGGTACTCACCACCCACCCAGAGCGGGCAGGAAAACTGCCACGAGTGAGCAGGAAAACCATCGTGGCAACGCGACCGCCTCGCCCAACACGGAATGGTCCCCCGTCTTGATTCCCAGGTACCAGACTCCGAGGATTCGAAACGAAATTCGCGCAGAGTTCGTTCTACGGCGCACAACGGGTTTCCAGATAGCCAGGCTGAGAAGGCAAACGACTGTGGCGACGCCAATGTCGCGACCAACACGACAGGAGCTCCATTGTATATTACAAGGTGGGGGTCGTGGCGCAATCTCGCAACAAGCAGTCAGTGCTGCAAGAGACAAAAGGCAGTCACCCAGGCACTATGTTCAGCTGGCGCAACTCACACTAAACTCTGTGCAAGTCGAAACATAGGTGGGGGTCGTGGCGAAAAAGAGCAGGGTGTTCGACACGACCAAGACCACGTTTGACCATGGCGGACACAACGATCAGCATGCTCGTCATGACGGCCACCGTGTCAGACCCGACGACCATCGTGCCGGACACGACGACCGTCGTCGACGATCGTGTCGGACACGAAGACGGTCGTGCTCGACACGATGGCGGTCGTGTTCGACACGACGACGACCGTGTTCGACACGACGTCGATCACGACGACGGCCGTGCACGACAACAAGCCGAACTCGACGACGAGCGTGTTCGACACGACGACGGCCGTGTTCGACACGATGGCGATCGTGTTCGACCCAACGACGATCGTGTTCAACACGACAACCAGCGTGTTCGACACGACAAGGATCGTGTTCGACACGACGACCATCATGTTCGACACGACGATGACCGTGTCGGACACGACGATGATCGTGTTTGACACGATGCCCAGCGTGTTCGACACGACAACGATCGTGTTCAACATGACGACCATCATGTTTGACACGACGACCAGCGTGGCGGACACGACAACGATCGTGTTCAACACGACGACCATCGTGTTTGACACGACGACCAGCGTGTCGAACACGACAACGATCGTGTTCAACACGACGACCATCATGTACGACGATCGTGTTTGACACGACGACCAGTGTGTTCGACACGACAATGATCGTGTTCAACACGACGACCGTCGTGTTTGACACGACGACCAGTGTGTCGGACACGACAATGATCGTGTTCAACACGACGACCATCGTGTTCGACACGACGACGACTGTGTCGCCCATCGTGTTCGACACGACGACGACTGCGGTGAAAGTGTTCGAGAAAACTTGTTGACGTCACCGATAAACCAGCACTGGAGACGAAGGCTTTTCTCTTTTTCTCGCGAGGGGGGGGACCGTGTTGGCCGAAGCGGCACTAACTTGGAGAGCGGGGCAGTTGTCGTGTCGACGTTGGCGGACGGCTGCGCTGATTCTCCCAGAATGCGAACAATGACACAATGTCGCGGGTACTCATGTGCGCGAATCGCATTTCTGCTCTGCAGCTGAACGTCATCCCCGCGCCTCCGCTCTGGCCAAGGGGGGAAAACGATCACGGACGACTGCAGGCATTGGATCGTCCCGACGGTCCGTATTCCCGGATCGGACCGTCCGTGTTCCCGGATCGGACGGCCAGCAGGCGCGCGCGGAGGGCCTGCCCGGAAAACCACTTATATGAAGCAGGCCCACCACTCCCCATCGGAACATCCCGACCGTCAGTATCCCCGGATCGGACGGCCAGCAGGTGCCCACGAAGGGCCCTCCCGAAAAACTATATATATGAGGGACGGCCACCAGTTCCCATTTTCGTTTCAGTTCGGCAAGGCAACGGTAGAGCAGCGCAGCGGAGGTTCGTCGACGCAGCGCAGCGGAGGCTCGTGCCACAGCGCAGCGCAGTGGAGGCTCGTGTACAGCGCGGCAACAGAGAACAGGGATTCGGTCCGTGCATAGCCGACCACCTGCTCGACGCGACGGCGGACCACAGCGCTCTCGAGAGGCGTGTTCAGCGCGACAGCGTAGCGAGCATACGGCCCAAGATCGCGACGCACAACCACAGCGGAGCACCCCGAGTTTGAAGGATCGGACGATGAGGACACAATCTCGCAGCCCAGATTCAACCACGTAACGCCACGTGGCACTTCCGGTCGTCGAGTCGAACATGATGGTGCCCCATCATCGAGTCGAACACGATCGCGCCCGATCGTCGAGTCCAACACGATCGTGTCCGATCGTCGTGTCGAACACGATCGTGCCTGATCGTCGAGTCGAACACGACAGTGCCCGACACGAACACGATTGTGTCCGATGTCTGATTGTCGAGTCGAACACGACAGTTGAGTCGAACACGCTCGTCGAGTCGAACACGACACTGCCCGATCGTCGAGTCGAACACGATAGTCGAGTCGAACACGATAGTCGAGTCGTACACGACACTGTCCGACCGTCGAGTCGAACACAATAGTCGAGTCGAACACGACACTGCCCGATCATCGATTCGAACACGATAGTCGAGTCGAGCACGACACTGCCCGATCGTCGAGTCGAATACGATCGTCGAGTCGAACACGATAGGCGAGTCGAACACGTCGAGACGGACACGATCGTCGAGGCGGACACGGTCGTCGAGTCGAACATGATCGTCGAGTCGAACACGATCGTCGAGTCGAACACGATCGTCGAGTCGAACACGATAGTCGAGTCGGACACGATCGTCGAGTCGAACACGATCATCCTGTGAAACACAATCGTCGATTGCGTTCGTCAAGTCGAACACGATAGGCGAGTGCCCTGTCGTCGAGTCGAACACGATCCTTCCCTGTCCTCTAGTGGAACGAGATTGTGCGCGGTGCAATGTCATCGAATCGTTCCTGATTGTGTGCAGTGCTATGGGCCGTGCATGGGCGTGGATTGTGCACATAGATTCTGTGCATTGTGTTATCGTGCGGCCTGGTTTGTTTCCTTTGTTGGGGGGAGCGGGGTGAATAGTTCTATGCTGCTGTTGGTTGTTGTATTGCTGCTGTTGACCGTTGCCCTTGTGCCGTGCAAGGCGTCTTCTCTTTACTGTTGCTATGGAGATCTCTAATATGACCCCAGCACTTTGGCGTGCACGCAAGGCACACCCTTTCCCACCTTGCGCATTGTACGTCCGACAATGTCAGGGCAGGGTAACCTATGAAGGCGCTTGTCCAGAAGACTTCGAATGCAACCCTTGGATGAGAATCCTCCCGTTTGGTGACAAACATTTGGATTCGTGGGAGGAGTGTGAGTGGGTGAACATGACGGAGAGATGCCCGTGGGCGTGCGATTATGAGTTCGTGAATATGTCCAAATTCGGCAAACGCATTCCCGTGCCGTTTGATGTGCTGCGTCCCGTGCGCTTGCCGCTACTGTGTAAAAAACTAAAATAAGCCGTGTTGTGGGGGTTTTGGACTGCGAATACGTGACAACCTTGCCCCGCACCTGGTGTCGTGTTATGAAACAAGAGTTACTCGATTGTGCTCGCCATTCTCAGTTCCTCGATCATTATCCGTTGCGATCTCCCAATCTGTCGCCAGGAGCAGTTTCGTATTGTTGTGTGAAATTGCGTCTGGCATACTTTATCTTTTGTAGGGTCCTCTGTATTGTCGTTTCGAGCAGGGGAAGAAACTTGACCGATGTTGTCGTGTATGTGTCCAGGAACGAGTTGTCTATGTCAGGGAGGGATATGTGTTTAGTTTAAAGAAGGGTAGATGGGAGACAAGATATCGTGGTGGGTGGCCAGGTGAAGGAGGTTGACTCATGGCGAGAGGTCGAGGCTAAAGTCGTTTCAATTCGGGATGCTATAAGCGCTTCTCTCGTCGGGAACTTCGGGTTCGTGCGAATGACATACATTTCGGTGTTTGCTGAGACGGCGCAGCAGCCGACCTTCGGATCGTCAATTAGCGTGTTGAATGGCCGCAACGGCGAGATTGTTCCCCGTAGTCGGTAGATAGCCTTCGTCATACTGAATGGCCAAAACGGCATACTGAATCGCCGAAATGGCCGCAACGGCGAGATTGTTTTCCGTAGTCGATAGACTACCTCGTGGAATTCGCATTGCGATTGTTGTTCTCAATGTGTTATTTCGATAACAATACGCGGTGTCTGCTAGTTGTTCTCGATTGTTGTTCTCAATGTGTTATTTGATAACAATACGCGGTATCTACTAGTTGTTCTCGTCATGTGTTCAGTGGTCAAAAGTACACACATTTGACGTTTTTGTCCTCATATTGTTTTCCGATTCATTGAAACCCGGCAATGATGACACCTGTTTTTGGTTTGGCTTTGGACACTGATACATCGCTGTCAGCCGAGTGTTTGATTGTTGTTCTCATGTTGTGTTTCCTTTCGGAAAAAAAAAACTAATTGTTCTGATGTTTGCGTGCACAAACATTCAGCAGTCATTGTTTCTCCGTGTTCTCGTGATCAAGTGCCCCTTTAGACACCGTCCGCCGACCATTGTGTCGAACACGGCAAATGTCGCACAGCACACCCCAGTGTCGCTGTCGTGTTCGACACGATGGTCGCCAGACGGTGCCCGAAGGGGCACTTGGTCGACTGTCTAACGACGGATGACAGTGTCGCTGTCGTGTCGAACACGACGGTCAGCTCCCCTACAGGAACCGTTTGGCGACCATTGTGTCGAACACGACATGGACACTGTTATCTGGCGACCAGACGGTGCATGAAGGGCCGCTTGGTCGACTGTCGCACGGCAGACAACAGTGTAGTTGTCGTGTTCAACACGACGGTTGGTCTGCCCGCGCAGTGCCGTCGGGTTCGACACGACAGTGACACGACGACACTGCAATGTCGCTCTCGTGTCGGATTCGACGGTACTGGAGGACGTCGTGCCACGGCCGTCGAGTTCGACACGACAGTGAAACGTCGACGAGCTGGCGGGTTGCGGCCCGCTACAGTTGCTCTGTGTTCCTGTCTACTCTTGTTCTCAAGTGCTGTAGTGTTTGCACGTTGGCAAAGCAAAGACTGTTTTCTCGCTTGTGCGTTTTCTTCAGTTGCAACTAGCTGCTCGGCAAGGATCGCGAGGGGAAGCCAAGCAAACGACGTACTAGTGCTGGTTCCGGGAGCATGGAGCAGTCTCCGAAAAAAACGAAGGGGACACCAACGGCTGGCGTGGGGGCTGGCGACACACCCGGGTCTAAGGGCCACTGAATCCCGGTGCTGCGGGGTGCACCTTCTGCGGGCACTCCTTCCACCCATGTTCGAGGTTCGGGACCGGATTCGGCTGTGTTGATGAGTGGTGGGGCTGCGGGTCGAGAAGAGGAGGCTACTGGTCGGCAGGGAAATCTGCGATGGACGTTGTGCCGAGGCGTAAAAGGTCTGGTGACACGTCCGTTGCAGGTGTGGGAGACGAGGTGCCTGTCGTCGACCACAACGACAAGTGCTGGATGTTAGACTGGGTGGATGGAATCGGGGAACGCTCGGGTGGACTGGTTTTGTACGTGGTGATAAAAGATAACATTGTTCCGATTGGCGGTGTGGTTAAGTGGAGTGGAGAAAAATCACCATCGACCATGTTGGAGTTGACGATGGTCCTTAACGCTAGAGGTGAGCGGATGGCAGGTGTCAAACGCGTTGCTCTTCGTTGGGCCAAACACGCTGGGTACGGCAAGAGGCTTTATGACATTTTCAATCCGCTTGGGACGGAGAAATTGACGTTGTCGGACCTTCGATCAGTTTTCGCATTCTTCGACGGACATGTGGTCGCAGGGCATGAGCCGGTGGTGCATGCTTCCGACCGCATATCTGAACCGAAAAGCATGCTTTCGTCGTCTTTGGAGGCGGCTCCATCGTCGAAACCGATCATTATAGGTGCCCGCCCTTCGCCATCACTTCAGACTACGGTTGCTACAACACGAGTTCCGAAATCTGGGCAGATCGGGGAAAAAAGTCTGTATCGCGGCCAAATCGTGTCGTCAGCCCCTGTGAAGCGTAGACCAACATCAACCAAGGAACCCGTTTCCTTGGTTCGCCCGCTGCGCTATGAGTTGGCCATTCCTGCTGGGCCACAATATTTCGGAGATGACGACGAGGAGAACAGCGCAGAAGAATGGGAGCGCGATGAAGAACGCGAAGAATATGAGGAGGGTGGTGAAGAAGAGGAAGTAGAGAGTGAACACACAATCAGCGAGAGGGGTGGGCCGGGCGAGTTGGAGGGTCATCTAGGGGTTGAGTATGAGGACGAAGGGCAAGAAGACGAAACGACCGGCGAGGGAGGGTATGCAGATGTGCATCGGGGTTCCAAACGAACGCAGCTGCTCGCGCCGGGTCATGGGCATTGGGAAGCGGATCCAGGGCGGGGGGAAATGCACCGCGAAGTTGGGGTCGAGCCGGCGCATGCCAAAGCAGTACGACTAGCTGAGAAGAAAAGGAAGATGAGGCAAGAGAGGAGAAGTGCTATGGACAGTAAGAAAACCAAGCAGTAGGTGGGAGCCAAGCAGGAGGAGGGCAAACGCAAGTTGAAAATGCTGGCAGTTGAGAAGGCCGTCCAACGTACGCGGGAGGCTGAGGAGGCCATGAAGAAAAAACGGCAAGCTAAGGGAAAAAGCAGCGAAGGGAGGTGTGATGGAAAAACTTCCGTTTTTCCACCGGACCAGCCACAGTCGGATGAAGACACTGTGAGCAAGACAGTCACCAGACCACCCGGTTTGCAGATTCTGCCGCATGGGAATTCTTCTGGTCATCTGAGCAAAGACTTTTTCCTTGAGTTCGACGAGAATGGTAACCAGAGGCCGATAATGTAGTTCATCTCTGTCAAGTTGGACAGGATTCTGGATATCCCTGATGAGGAATTCAGATATAATCAAAACTTCCTCGATTAGGATCTTGTTGATGACCTTTTCAAAACAATGGTTGAGTCGGGTGAGGCAGCTATCAAAGAGAGAACGACCGGGGCAGCCGGGGTGAATGTATGTGCATTGTACGAGAAGCATGTCCTTCTATTGATTGGGCTACATGATACAATGCATACTAACGCTTCCCGTACAAATGTGAGGGCGAGAAGAGTGACACCCCGCGAATTCGATCTCCAATCCGTGTGCAAGTACTACTGGTACCCTCTCAGTGGTCAACACAATGTTGCGGCGGCGAGGAAATGTTCTCAAGAACGCCTTGACATCGCCCGTGAGCTTCATTTGGATTGTTGGACTGCAAGGCCTGTTTACTATACGGATAGGAGCATGGAAAATTACTGCACCTTGGGCACTTTCCAAAATGCGAAGGACAAATGGAATACTCCTCCACACCAGATTGCTATCATTAAGAACATACGAAAGTTATGGCAAGCAGCCGGTCGTCCAGAAGCTATAGGCGGATCTGCTGCAGACGTCAAAAATAAGGATTACATAGAGTTTGCGGCGATGGCTCTGCGCGCGACCGGGAGTGATCATTTGGTTACTCTTTCACTTCAGGCTTGAAGCAGGGAGTGGTCCGACTTCCTCGGGTCTTACATGGTATTGGCAAGGGCGACGGACGATGTGTTCGACAAGGTGCAACAAGTGTATTCTGCTTGGGAGAGTGGACAATTGCCGGGGAGAGATGGTGTGAAGCCTGCCACCAAACAAGGTGAATCAGGGAAAGCGCCGAGACCTGACCCCGGATTCGAGTTGGAAAAAGGAGTCAGGGTTCCAGTGCACTGGATTCAGGGTACTAGAGGACCTGGTTACCTCGTGGCTGTGCGCGATCCAAATGTCAGATCATGGAAGGCTATGTCTACGTTGGGAAGGCGTGAGAGGCTTCAACTGTTGCGAGACATTCTCACGGGAAGTGTCGTACTGGCTCCAAGTCTAAGTAAAGTTGCTCACACTGCCGGGAAACATTCGATGGAGACATACGTGGAAATGGTGAAGCAGGAAAGAGCAATGTTGAGAATGTTTCACTACTTCGTCTTCATTTCTAACCCTCACAAGAAGCCGTCAGAGTGGAAGGAATCATTCTTCGACAACCTTTCTGATTTGTTCGCTAAGTATTGTGATCAAGGATTGACATCGGAGAGGTGGATCGACCAGCGATGGCATTTCAAGGAAACGAGTTGGGTGCGATCATTTCCGGCTACACTTGGAGGCGAAGATGAGAAAGGAGAGGAGGGCTTCAAGAAAGCAAAAACGCTTGCAAATAAATGCCCCGAAGAGTTCATTCAATTTGTCAACAAGTTGTTGCGTAGATCTGAAACTGGGGGTTCGCATAGCATTCGTATGTCGGGACAAGCGAGATATATACATTTCCAGAAACAGAACGTGACATCTTTATTCATGCCGTTCCAGTGCGAACCGAGCGATGTTTCAGACGAGATGAATTGTAAGGAGATGTTTAGGGCCGTCAGACACCTGACGTGCCACACAGTCGTCCTGGATTTGTGCCGCCCGACCCAGATGGGTGCGTGGACTGAACAAGTGTTTCATGGACTCAAGAAGTTCATGGACAAACTTGGCGGCGAGTATTGGACATTGTTGTGCTTCGTTCCACGTCCTTGCAAGTTCACATTCTTGCGGCGAGTCGCGATGTGGGACATTCACTTGGATCTTCTCAAATGGACTCGTTTACAACAAACAAAGGGGAAAGGGGCATATAAGGTTGCAAACTTGTCTTTGGAGGACACAAACAGAATGGTGGTCATCATGTACTCCAACGACGGGGATTTTCATCGCAACACTATTCCCTTGTTTGAAGATATTCAAGCTGCAGGTCCATCATCTGCCGAGCGGGTGGCTGACATATCGGCACTTGTGTGGAGAGAGAGAAAGCCGAAGATGTTGAATGATGTCGTGGAGAAGAACTTTCTACCATCAAAGTGGAAAATGGCAGGTATGGATCCACCGGAGAAAGTGGTCTATGATGGTATGGAAAGGGAGCCGAATGCGATGGTGGAGACATTGGAGCATTTTTGTCCTGCGGATGAGGCTATCGTTTTCCTCGGGAAAGGTCATGCGGGATTGGTTTGGGAGCTGTTAAAGAGTCACCGTTATTGCATTGTGCTGGAAGGGGAGGGTATGAAGTTCGAGTTCCTCACTCAGTTCATTGAGAAGATGGTCAAAACTCAAGATTACTACGCCGACTTTACTAAGCCGCCTCCTCAACATGATGAAGGGCGTGATCTCGTCTACAAGGTTGGCCAAAACGTTGTCAATATTTGGGAGTTTGTCTTCGAAACAAAGCCGCAAGACAGAGGGGAACGTACTTGTGTCCTCAGAAGAAGAAAAGTGGAGAAGCTCTTGAGGGGTTATCGTAAAGCACCATCAGAGAAGGAGGTTTCATTTCTCGACCGCTTGGAGGCAATGTACTTCGACCAACAAATCGGGGGGCGTTTACAATCGCAGGTTACGCGACTTGTTTTGTGGATAGTGAGGACTTTGATGTCGACGACTCAGAAGAAGAGAGTGTTGATGACACTTTACAAGCGGTTTTGGCAGCTGAGAGGCAAAGAGCTTGTAGCCCGGGTTCGCAGAGAATGGGTGTTCCAGGCACATCGTCCCGTTCTGGAGGAGCTTCGAGCATGGCGGTTTCAACGGGTCAGTTAATGACTCAGCCGCCGACTTCTTCTATTGTTACGTCGACTCAGATGGCGGGCAATACGATGACGGTGGCATCCGGAGGCGGTCTGGATCCGAGTGTTCTAGCAATGCTCTCCCCAGAGTTGGTGGCAACTCTGGCATCATTTGCACACAACCCAAGTACTATTATGGAATTGCTACGCTCTCGAACTCCACAACAACCTCCACCTGATGAGCCTTTGGAGTACGAGATTGGAGACACAATCCCTGCAGACATTCGACTGTTTTCGGGGCCTATAGTGTGCCGAGACGATTATACGGTGACGGATGATGCCACATGGGGTCATCACATTATACTGCACCCCCAACACTTCCAACCTGCATTGGCGAGAGAGAGGTGGGTTATGGCTATAAAAGAAGAAGGGGAGTGGCAGTTTTGCCTCCACAGACGTATGCCAGGATCAAATTTTCTGAAACATGCAAAAAATCAGATTGCCAAGCGACTCCTGCGACTTAATCCGGAGGTTTCTCAATCAAGACTAGATATGATAACAGAAGAAATTTTCCAAGAGTTCAAAACATCGCAGTGGCTTGAGTATCTGGAAGAGTTTTATGATAGACAAACCAGCCCGACTTATGGATATTATTGGCATGTTAGAGAAGATCTTGGGGAGAGGAAAAAATCAAGTGACGGTGGTGACCATGGCAAGGGATCCGGATCGAGCGGAGGTGCGCATGGCAAAGGATTGAGATCGAGGAGCGGTGCAAGTGACAAGGGTACGGAACCGAATGACGGTGCAAGCGGCAAGGACACAAGTCGTGGGGAACGACAACAAACCGAAAATTCTAAGGGGCGTCAAGCAACAGAAGGCAAGGGATCAGCACCAAGCGGCGGTGGGCATGGCAAACCTACAGGACCAAGCAGCGGTGGTTCAACTGTCGAAGGGTCTCAGGGGCCTCAAGCAACAGAGCGCAAGGGATCTGGATCGAGTGGTGGTTCAACTGTCGAAGGGTCCCACGGTCGAGTCGAACACGACAGTGGCCTCGCATTGGAGCATTCCCGACTTGATCAAGTGAAGAGTCACATGGTCGAGTCGAGTCCGGCAGTGGGATCGGAAACGATCGCCGGTGCGACTAGCAAGGCTTCGGGACCACGGGGGGGCAGTACAACTATCGGTGGTGCTTCATCTGTCAAAGAGTCACATGGTCGTGTCGAACACGACACTCGTCCAGCATTCGAGCGCTCGCGGCTTGACCAAGCGAAGAAAGTCACTGTCGAGTCGAACCCGACAGTGAGAACGGGATCAATCGCCGATATAAGTGGCAAGGCTTCGGGACCAATCAACGTTGTTTCACCTGTCGAAGGGTCACACGGTCGAGTCAAACACGACAGGGGTCCACTATTGGAGCGCTCCCAGCTTGACCGTGCGGAGAAACTCGTGGTTGAGTCCAACCCGACACAGCAACGGGGATCGATTGCCAATGCGAGTGCCAAAACTTCAGGACAAAAAGGCGGTGTGAGTTGCGAGGGCGTGAGTACAGCTGACCAAGTTGGGCGACTACGATACTAGTAAGCGACAGTGTCGCGATGAAAGTGGATATTACTGGTACACTCACGGAATTGCAGATGCCGTCGTCGACGATGCTAGCCGAAGTAAGTGGCACTTTCCAGGACACTTTTGAGGGCGTAAAGGAGGAAGAAACTCTCCATGTACATGACAACGAAGAGGATGAAGGACATATAGTACTAAGTACACCGGAGCAAGCTGTACTTGTACAACCTCAACAAACGTTTGAACAACCTCAAACACCACAGTCTGCTAACCTCATGATAGCTATCGAGGAATCTCCTATTGCGCCATTGCATATGGAAGGTGTGACAGAAGGTCGTGTTGAAGAAAAACTGAGAGTTAGCCATCAAGGTGAACACTTTCTTATCTTAGGAGCAATATCTAATACTATATGCGGATTAGTAGGTACATCACATGCACTCATCTCCCATTTTGTCGATCCCTCAGATGTATTGTTTATTTACCTAGCTTTGGAACTGTGCGTTTTCTGAAGAGAAATACTGCAATTGTTTTGTATGAAGACTGTTGGCCTGAGAATTGCGCCATTGCTTTAAAGCTGTTGGAATAAGCCTCACAGAAGGGAAGAAATTGCATCGCACAGGTTGCAGTTTATCTGTTATGGATAACAGTACTGATGACGAAACAGATAGACAACCAACAACATGAGCTCATATCTATGTAGTCTATCACTTGTTTTTGTGTGAAGTCTTAGTCGCTCTATTGTTGTTTATATGGGTGTTTGTATGCAGTGCATGACCCTTCGTTCCAGATTCCTTTAACAACAGTACGTCTTACTGTAGAAGAAAGGAGTATCTTGAAATGATTACCGGCAGCACTGAAGAGAATGAAGAATACGGCATTGTCGATTACAAGGGGAGGTGGAAGGTGGAAAAGAAAGACGTCATGCTCGCCCCCAAAGATGGGGAATGGTTAAATGATGAAGTCGTMAATTTGTACYTGYTAGCYGTTCAGATCACCAATGACTACATCAAGAAGGTGGATTCGACATGTGCAGAAGTGACAAAAGATGAAAGTTCTTGTAGCATTCCATCTGTGCATATTCTAAATTCTTTTTTCTTTCCCAAATTGTCAAAAGCTTAGTCCGTTGAAATCGCATACTCCGAAGGGATGAGATGGGTGAAGGACATAAATCTTTTCAATTTTGATTTGGTAATTATCCCTCTCCATTTCGGAAATCATTGGGTCTTAGCTTATGTCAGTATAGATTGCTCTGAGTGTAGATTCCGCCTCGTAGACTCTCTCCATTGTGTTGACTAAGGTCCAGCCCTCGAACTTTTGACAGGTTTTTTTAGAGCGGAGTTTCAGCGATAAAATCTTCGGAAAAAATATCATGTGGAGGAGCCTACATCCTAATTTGATACATCAGTAGATGGGATTCCTGCTCAAGAGGATTCTTCTAGTTGTGGTGTTTTTATGTTAGGTTCTGCATATTTGCTTGCAAAAGGTCACTTCCCTCCGTTCGGTTTCTGACAAGATAGTATTCCTGATATGAGACTTAGAATAGCATTTGACATTTTGTCCATGGTTAGATTGGAAAGTCAATGAGAATTTCAGGTTCTAGGTTTGGAAAAATGAGGTTGACGTGTTTACTTAGTGTGAACATTCCGGGTGAAAATGTGTATTGTAGGCAATTTTGAAAATATGTTGACAATGTGTAATGACATTTCCTAAACTTCTCATCGGTTTTTGATGAGGTTGGCGTGTTTTACTGAGTGACATGTTTACAAAGTGGATTGCCAATCCTTGAGTGACATGTTTGCGGCTTGTGTACGTGTGAACATTCGAGTTGAAAATTTGTGTTTAATTTCCTTCAACAGCTTTCATGTATAACCATTGTTTTCTCGTTGTTTGCTTATTTTTCCCTCAGTTCTTTGTGTCATTTTACAATTAAAATAAAAAGTGAACATGAAAACGATTTCACTTTTAACGAAAACACCGTTATAAGCAGTGTCGAGGTCCCACCAGCGAAAAGGATAGGATCAAGCTCCAGAATCTGGATGTGTTTTATGCAGAGATGCAGAAAAGCAGTTCAATCTCGATTTCCTGCACATCTCCATAACGACGTCTAGGTATTCGATACGATGTTATTCGCTAGTGGGACCACGCCC